CACAGGGTCTAGTTTTTTTTTTTTTTTTCCTCCGCCACAAAATGGAAAAATTGCGCAATAGTACCCAGAGGTCATTGGGCCCTCAACACCATGACAACTAACTGTGATCCAATGAGGTGTTCACATGCTGATCACGCGTGTTATACCTCAACACCATGACTACTAACTGTGATCCAATGAGGTGTTCACATGCCGATTACACATGTTATCTTGATGATGATTGACGTTGTCATGCACAGACAGGGCCGGGTCACATGACGAATCACGAGATTTTGCTTATAAAACTCTTTGATCAGTTGTTTTGTATTTCAACGTATTTGGATTGCGATCTCCTGGAGCATTATGGCGCAAACGCGCAAAATACTTACAGACGCATATACAAGTCGTATTAATCGCGGCTAATCCACACTGAAAGATGTTATTGAGCGGTAATTTTGGAACGGATTGAGTCGCGACCGCTTGAAAGCCATGAAAGCCTTGAATGCCTTGTATGCTAAGTATGCCAATGTCTTAGTTGAAAAACGTTCACTTATTGTTAAAAAACAAAATCTGAAATCTGAAACCAAACTGCATATACTCTATGCAATCTATTGAACACCACTACTACCGTGAGACTGAAGAACATAACTATAATGGATGCAAACTGCTTGTGAAGAAAGACGACATGTTGGATTCACTTGATGGCAAGGAACGTAGCTACGATAACAGATCATGATCAGAAAGGTCAATCTTATGTTTGTTTTCATTGTAGTTGTATGGATATTCTTTTTTGATAAATACGTGATCCAAAACCCAGTGTTTTTTGTGTATAATGTTATTATGTTAAATATTGTTTACGCAATTTTCTTGTCACAGGTGGCCCAAGCTTACGTCTCGAGAAAAAGCCAACGATTAATTCATGAACGCGTCACGCGTTGTGTGACTCGATGTTAAGTTACGAGAGGAACTGCACATTATAAGGAATAGTACAGGGAACGAAGTATGGTCGATTTATAACGATACATATTTCGAAATATGAACATTTTTCTCGTAAAATCAATAAAACTTACGCATACCCTGTGTATCCGTTGTATTTTTTGGCGATTTCTGCCGTTTTAAGCTTGCTTTACCATCACTGTTATTCACGTCATCTACTTTTATTACGTTGGTAAAATCTGTACAGACATCACACCAACAATCTCGTGCGCAAAGTAAGAAGACTATATTGAAGGCTTGGAATAATATTACGATTGATTTTCATCAAGAAATGGGCCAGGAATATTCCACAATAGTGCAAGTAATCGTGAAGGCGGATCGCAGAAAAGCGATTGCGTGACGCTCGGTGAGCTGTAAGGTGACATGTTATTATATACCAGACGTAAAAACTCTTCAGATTCTTAGTCTGCATTTTGTACCCACTCTGCAGTCTGCAGTCTATATTTTGTATTCGGTCTGCAGTCTACTGTCTGCATTTTGTACTAACAGGTATCCGTGGCACCAATACAGTTTATTTTTGGTTACATTTATTTATTAACACACATAATCTACCACAAAATACCTGTGAGTAAGGTAATTCGACATTTTCGTTCTTTCCCACATTAATATTCTTCTCTCCTTTTGCACCAATACAGTTTATTTTTGGTTACATTTATTTATTAACACACATAATCTACCACAAAATACCTGTGAGTAAGGTAATTCGACATTTTCGTTCTTTCCCACATTAATATTCTTCTCTCCTTTTGTAAGAATTTAGAAATCACTCACAATGTTTCAAGTAATCCACCCACCCTACAAAAAAGTAACTCTTGCACGCATAGCATGCCTATGTTTTGAAATAGGTGTATGCCCTTGGCCAGACTTGAGCGCACTATTTCAGTATACTAGTCCGACATCCGTAGTATCACTTCACTTGATTCCAAGGATCCAATACCATCCAGGTATCCCAGTTACCCTGCTCACAGGGTCTAGTTTTTTTTTTTTCCTCCGCCACAAAATGGAAATATTGCGCAATAGTACCCAGTGGTCATTGCGCCCTCAACACCATGACAACTAACTGTGATCCAATGAGGGTGAAGGTGTTCACATGCTGATGCTGATCACGTGTTATCTTGATGATGATTGACGTTGTCATGCACGGACAGGTCCGGGTCACATGACGAGCACGAGGTTTTCTTTTGTCGGTTGTTTTGTATTTCAACGTATTTGGATTACGATCACCTGAATCGTTATAGCGCAAACGCTCGAAATACTTACAGAAGCATACACAAGTCGTATTGTTCGCGGCCAGTCCACACTAAAAGATGTTATTGAGCAGTAATTTTGGACCGGATTGAGTCGCGAACTGTGTATCCGTTGTAGTTTCTGGTGATTTCTGCCCTTTTAAGTTTGCTTTACCATCACTGTTATTCACATCATCTACTTTTATTACGTTGGTAAAATCTGTACAGACATCACATAAACCAACTCGCGCACAAAATAAGAAGAGTATATTGAAGGCTTGAAATTATATTACGATCGATTTTCATCAAGAAATGGGCCAGGAATTTTCCACAATAGTGCAAATAATCGTGAAGGCTGATCGAGGAAAAGCGATTGCGTGACGCTCGGTAAGCTGTAAGATGACATATTATTATTTACCAGACGTAAAAACTCTTCAGATTCTCAGTCTGCATTTTGTACCCACTCTGCAGTCTCCAGTCTATATTTTTTATCTGGTCTGCTGTCTGCATTTTGTACTAACAGGTATCTGTGGCACCAATACAGTTTATTTTTGGTTACATTTATTCGCACAACACACATAATCTACCACAAAATACCTGTGTGTGAGGTAATTCGACATTTTCGTTCTTTTCCACGTTAATACTCTTCTTTCCTTTTGTAAGAATGTAGACCACAAGTAATCCACCCACCCTAGAAAAAATAACTCTTGCATGCATAGCATGCCCATGTTTTGAAATAGGTGTATGCCCTTAGCCAGACTTGAGCTCACTATTTCAGTATACTAATCCACCACCCGTAGTATCACTACACTTGATTCCAAGGATCCAGTACCATCCAGGTATCCCAGTTACCCTGCTCACAGGGTCTAGTTTTTTTTTTTTCCTCCGCCACAAAATGGAAAAATTGCGCAATAGTACCCAGAGGTCATTAGGCCCTTAATTCCATGACAACTAACTGTGATCCAATGAGGTGTTCACATGCTGATCACGCGTGTTATCTTGATGATGATTGACGTTGTCATGCACGGACAGGGCCGGGTCACATGACGAACATAGATTTTTGCCCATAAAACTCTTTTGTCAGTCGTTTTACGATCATCTGGAGTATTATGGCGCAAACGCTCAAAATACTTATAGACGCATACACAAGTCGTATTGTTCGCGGCCAATCCACACAAAAAGATGTTATTGAGCGGTAATTTTGGAACGGACTGAATCGTGAACGCTTGAAAGCCATGAAAGCATTGAATGCCTTGTATGTCTTGTATGCTAAGTATGCCAATGTCTTAGTTGAAAACGTTAACTCGTTGTAAAAAGCAAAATCTGAAATCTGAAACCAAACTGCATATACTCTATGATGCAATCTATTGAACAACACTACTACCGTGAGACTGAAGAACAAAATTCAAATGGATGCAAACTGCTTGTGAAGAAAGACGCCATGTTGGATTCACTTGATGCCAGGGAACGTAGGTACGATAACAGTGCGAATGGTATTAATTTCACGATCAGAAAGATGAATCTTATGTTTTTTCCATTGTAGTTGTATGGATATTCTTTTTAATGAATACATGATCCAAAATCCCGTGTTTTTTGTGTACAGTATACTAGTCCGACACCCGTAGTATCACTACACTTGATTCCAAGGTTCCAGTACCATCCAGGTATCCCAGTTACCCTGCTCACAGGGTCTAGTGTTAAGTATTGTTTACGCAATTGTCTTGTCACAGGCAACCCAAGGTCACGTCTCGAGAAAGAGCCAACGATTAATTCACGAACGCGTTACGCGTTGTGTGACTCAGAGTAAGTTATGCTAGGAACCGTTGAAAATTTGAACACGTTATAAGGAATAGTATAGGGAACGAAATATGGTCGATTTACAACGATAAATATTTCGAAATATGAAGATTTTTCTCGTAAAATCAATAAAACTTACTCATACCCTGAGTATCCGTTGTAGTTTCTGGCGATTGTTGCCGTTTTAAGCTTGCTTTACCATCACTATTATTCACGTCATCTACTTTTATTATATTGGTAAAATCTGTACAGACATTACACCAACCAACTATGTTGAAGGCTTGAAATTATATTACGATCGATTTTCATCAAGAAATGGGCCAGGAATTTTCCACAATAGTGCAAATAATCGTGAAGGCTGATCGCGGAAAAGCGATTGCGTGACGCTCGGTAAGCTGTAAGATGACATGTTATTATATACCAGACGTAAAAACTCTGCAGATTCTCAGTCTGCATTTTGTACCCACTCTGCAGTCTATATTTTGTATCCGGTCTGCAGTCTGCTGTCCACATTTTGTACTAACAGGTATCCGTGGCACCAACACAGTTTATTTTTGGTTACATTTATTCGCACAACACACATAACCTAGCACAAAATACCTGTGTGTGAGGTTATTCGACATTTTCATTCTTTCCCGCGTTAATAATCTTCTTTCCTTTTGTAAGAATGTAGACCACTTACAATGTTTCAAGTAATCCACCCACCCTACAAAAAATAACTCTTGCATGCATAGCATGCCTATGTTTTGAGACAGGTGTATGCCCTTGGCCAGACTTGAGCTCACTATTTCAGTAGACTAGTCCGACACACGTAGTATCACTACACTTGATTCCACGGATCCAGTACCATCCAGGTATCCCAGTTACCCTGCTCACAGGGTCTAGTTTATACTCGAGTACTGATAATGAATAAAACTTTCGTGTCAATCAATCTCAATAGCTTTACTGTACCGTCATTGTTCCAAGGGAAAATGATTTTCGGACGAATGATTGGATACGGAATCGTATAATCTTTATATTGTTTTATTCGATCTATAAGAAAGATACAAAATTGTTGAGAAACCTAATCTAATGCGAGCGATTCATGAAATTGCACGGGAACTAACAATTCTCAATTCAATCGGTTACAAAACAAATTACTTACTTCTGTGGCGATATCTAATCAAACGTAATTCAATAACAGGTCAGCAAAACGGGTCAGCAGATCGAACAATAATACTCTACAGGTTAGCGACGTTCAACGTAACGTCCGTAAGGTACAAAACGCTTATAACCTTTGTCTCTGATTTCGCATTACTTAAAACGTGTCCTAACAGAATGATCAAGTTACTTAACTTTTACGCCATCGATTGTTAATCACGCGGCTAATCAAACAAGCAAATGTTAATAAACGGATTAAATATCAATCAACGAAACAGTCATAATCAGTCTAGGTAGCAATGGATTTCTCTTCTGCAATAAATTCATTCTCAAGAAAATATCATGTAACAAATGATAACATTTAACAAAACTATCTAGCTAAACACATGAATCAGTTTATTTTACTTTGACTTCAAAATCAAAAGCAATTATTCAGACATTTGATTGGCCAATAAAGCACTCAAAGTTGACCTCTATGGCGAGTGTATGGCTAAAACAGCTTCAAAGTACACAAAACAGCCAACATCATCATCATCATCATTGTAGTAGAGTTAATGAAGACGGAGAAGCCACCGTTACAGGGTGTGTCACTATCACTGACACAGCAAGTGATGGTGCACTCTTTTACTCCCAACGCCTTTAAGTTGGCTTTATCCTCGCATTTTTTCTTTTGCTCCTCACAAATGCTTTTGACATAGCAAGCTCTCATCTCATACTCTTCACCATCATCACTCACGCTGTGCATCCTAACGCATGCGTACTCGGTGGGATCTGCCACATCTCTGTTGATGCAGTCCATAATTGTCTGATCTTTCAAGCACTGTTCCGTGGTATATTCTGTGTCATTATTTGATTCACGCATGCATTTGTAGCATTTGAAACTGGAGCCTGTGAAAGTAAAAGAGGAATCATTGATAAGACATACTTGATCTCCATCGGAGCTGTTGTTGGTTTGGCACGTCACGTAATGCGTTCTCTCTTCAACCAGGAAAAGGCGTTGCGTAACAAGATCAATCAGAAATGTACTGTGACAGTGTCAACCATGCATCTGTCGTTAGGAGAGTGTTGACATAAAGGAGAGGAAAGTCTCTTGTTATTCTCAGCGCGATAGTTCAGCGTCAAAAAAGTGAAATTTCAAAAGGGGAAACTTTTTCATCATCAACGCTCTAAAAGTCTTAAAAAGTTCCATTTGTGTTTGTCTTCGGCAATGGTTATAGTCTTGCCGAGGAGAAATGTAAGACGATTGTAAGATTTCTTTAACGAAGAGGAAAAATGAAATATTCGATTATCATATCAGCTCACGTTAAAACTGAATTACAGGGCAATGGACTCTACCAATGACAATTACAGTAAAACTATTCGAAACGTATTTATCCTAACCTGCCATAGCGCGTCAATTTGAGGGACAACACGGCGCGATGTTTTCCTGGAACTTCGCGACGAATAAATTTCGGGGAGCCATTTGTATTTCATTTTACCGACGTAGATAGGAAGGAAAATAAAATCCAGCCAAATCTACTCGTCCACCTGGATAAGGTAGATATCTGTGTCTTTTTTTTTGGAGAACGACTTAAGATTTTCCGAGTAATTTGACCGAAAAATCCTTTCATATCCTTGAAAGAAAGATCGATTGCATTAAACTCTTTTCTCGGAAACATAGTTACTATAGAAATTGTCTTTCTCTCTGCGTATTTGTTTAAATAAGGTAGTCAGGGAAGTAAAATTCGGTTGACCTAGACTACACAAAAAAGCAAGAATCCAATAAGACCACACTTATATTCTGTTACAAGCGATAACCTCAAATCTATAATTGTTGGGCCTTTTCCGCAGTACGTATCTTGGCTTGTTCCGACGAAGGATCGCTTTGATACAGCAATTAGTATAAGGATTACCGGGGGTTATTGTGTTTACATCCTTTCAAAGTTGGGCTTCATACTCAGTATAAGCTCGCAAATGTCTTTAATGTGGCGCTGTTTACGGGCCTTTTCTCGAAATCGAAGTAGCTCTATTATGCATTAGGAAGATGACCAAGAGAGGTGAGACCCTTGAATTAACCAAGGGATTGACTCATGGAGACTCAAGGAGAAATGTAAGACGATAGTAAGATTTCTTTATCAAAGAGGAAAAAAAAAACATTCGATTATCATACCAGCTCACGTTATAACTGAATTCCAAGACAATGGACTTTCCCAATGGCAATTGCTATGGAATTATTTGGAACGTATTTATCATAACCTGCCATAGCTCTTCAATTTGAGGGACAACACGGCGCGATGTTTTCCTGGAACTTGGCGACGAATAAATTTCGGGGAGCTATTTATATTTCATTTTACCGCCGTAGATAGGAAGGAAAATAACATCAAGCCAAATCTACCCGTCGACCTGAATAAGGTATCTGTTTTTTTGGAGAACGACTCAAGATTTTCCGAGAAATTGAGTAATTTGACCGAAAAAACCTTTCATGTACGTGAGAGAAAGATCGATTGCATTAACTCTTTATTGTAGACTTAAAAAAAAATGACAAATGATGGTAACCTTTTTTCTTTTCTTTTTTTTTTTTGTCAACAGTATTTACACTAGTGATTAGTGCTATATCTCATTTGAAAGAGGACAAAATTAGCTTTTCAGAAAAAATATATTTTGCCTCCAAAAATCCATGGATTTTAAATCATGCTAAGAAAATGGCATACAATTTGTATAAATTATTGTACAACTTTTGACTTTGAAACAGCCTGGGCCTGAATGGATTGGAGTTAAAAGGAAACACTGCTTAGATAAAATATTCCTTATCTTATGGGCAAGACATCCAGAGACTCTGGCTGAAAAAGAACAAATACGGAATGAATTAGAATTTTTTTCCAAACTGTACCCCAAAACCATAAAAATTGACCCAGATTATTGAAAAATTTATTCCTCACCAAGTATTTACACAAGGGAAGTGAGCTATAGCTCACTTGAAACAGCAGTAAATGAGATTTCCTGAAATGCATGTTTCCTCTCCAAGAAAAAGGAAACAACCTCATTGAATGCTTTCAAACTAACATTAATTAGCATAAAATATCATCAAAATTTAAACTGTGAATTAAGTGATACCCAAATAATACAAAGTAATGAGGCAAAAATTAACTAAAGAGGTTCCTTGTTATATGGGCAACATCTCCATAAAAAATTGGTTGGAAAATAACAAATCTGAGATGTGTTACACATATTTAGTGAACACTGATTGACACACTGACTAATTAGTCATCATCACCCCAAACCAAATTTACTAATCCCTCTTGAAGTCTACAGTGCAATCATTGGAACTATATTTCTTTGTTTGACTTCTGAAATTTTGCCTTGAAACAGGGACAAATGAGATAATCAACCTCAAAATACATAAAGCACAACATATATCAAAAGCCTTTCACTTGCAATGCACCACCAGTATTTTCAAGAGTAAACAATTCAGAAGTGAAATGCCCAAATTTACTAATCCCTCTTGAAGTCTACAGTGCAAACATTGGAACTATAGTTCTTTGTTTGAAGATTGACTAATTAGTCTGACCTTATCTTGTCATCACCCCAAGCCCAAATTTACTAATCCCTCTTGAAGTCTACAATGCAATCACTGGAACTATATTTCTTTGTTTGACCTCTGAAATTTTGCCTTGAAACAGGGAAAAATGAGATAATCAACCTCAAAATACATAAAGCACAACATATATCAAAAGCCTTTCACTTGCAATGCACCACCAGTATTTTCAAGAGTAAACAATTCAGAAGTGAAATGCCCAAATTTACTAATCCCTCTTGAAGTCTACAGTGCAAACATTGGAACTATAGTTGTTTGTTTGAAGATTGACTAATTAGTCTGACCTTATTTTGTCATCACCTCAAGCCCAAATTTACTAATCCCTCTTGAAGTCTACAATGCAATCATTGGAACTATATTTCTTTGTTTGACTTCTGAAATTTTGCCTTGAAACAGGGAAAAATGAGATAATCAACCTCAAAATACATAAAGCACAACATATATCAAAAGCCTTTCACTTGCAATGCACCACCAGTATTTTCAAGAGTAAACAATTCAGAAGTGAAATGCCCAAATTTACTAATCCCTCTTGAAGTCTACAGTGCAAACATTGGAACTATAGTTGTTTGTTTGAAGATTGACTTATTAGTCTGACCTTATCTTGTCATCACCCCAAGCCCAAATTTACTAATCCCTCTTGAAGTCTACAATGCAATCACTGGAACTATATTTCTTTGTTTGACCTCTGAAATTTTGCCTTGAAACAGGGAAAAATGAGATAATCAACCTCAAAATACATAAAGCACAACATATATCAAAAGCCTTTCACTTGCAATGCACCACCAGTATTTTCAAGAGCAAACAATTCAGAAGTGAAATGCCCAAATTTACTAATCCCTCTTGCAGTCTACAGTGCAAACATTGGAACTATAGTTCTTTGTTTGAAGATTGACTAATTAGTCTGACCTTATCTTGTCATCACCCCAAGCCCAAATTTACTAATCCCTCTTGATGCCTACAATGCAATCACTGAAACTATATTTCTTTGTTTGACTTCTGAAATTTTGCCTTGAAACAGGGAAAAATGAGATAATCAACCTCAAAATACATAAAGCACAACATATATCAAAAGCCTTTCACTTGCAATGCACCACCAGTATTTTCAAGAGTAAACAATTCAGAAGTGAAATGCCCAAATTTACTAATCCCTCTTGAAGTCTACAGTGCAAACATTGGAACTATAGTTCTTTGTTTGAAGATTGACTAATTAGTCTGACCTTATCTTGTCATCACCCCAAGCCCAAATTTACTAATCCCTCTTGAAGTCTACAATGCAATCATTGGAACTATATTTCTTTGTTTGACCTCTGAAATTTTGCCTTGAAACAGGGAACAATGAGATAATCAACCTCAAAATACATAAAGCACAACATATATCAAAAGCCTTTCACTTGCAATGCACCACCAGTATTTTCAAGAGTAAACAATTCAGAAGTGAAATGCCCAAATTTACTAATCCCTCTTGAAGTCTACAGTGCAAACATTGGAACTATAGTTGTTTGTTTGAAGATTGACTAATTAGTCTGACCTTATCTTGTCATCACCCCAAGCCCAAATTTACTAATCCCTCTTGATGTCTACAATGCAATCACTGGAACTATATTTCTTTGTTTGACCTCTGAAATTTTGCCTTGAAACAGGGAACAATGAGATAATCAACCTCAAAATACATAAAGCACAACATATATCAAAAGCCTTTCACTTGCAATGCACCACCAGTATTTTCAAGAGTAAACAATTCAGAAGTGAAATGCCCAAATTTACTAATCCCTCTTGTAGTCTACAGTGCAAACATTGGAACTATAGTTCTTTGTTTGAAGATTGACTAATTAGTCTGACCTTATCTTGTCATCACCCCAAGCCCAAATTTACTAATCCCTCTTGAAGTCTACAATGCAATCACTGGAACTATATTTCTTTGTTTGACTTCTGAAATTTTGCCTTGAAACAGGGAACAATGAGATAATCAACCTCAAAATACATAAAGCACAACATATATCAAACGCCTTTCACTTGCAATGCACCACCAGTATTTTCAAGAGCAAACAATTCAGAAGTGAAATGCCCAAATTTACTAATCCCTCTTGTAGTCTACAGTGCAAACATTGGAACTATAGTTGTTTGTTTGAAGATTGACTAATTAGTCTGACCTTATCTTGTCATCACCCCAAGCCCAAATTTACTAATCCCTCTTGAAGTCTACAATGCAATCATTGGAACTATATTTCTTTGTTTGACTTCTGAAATTTTGCCTTGAAACAGGGAACAATGAGATAATCAACCTCAAAATACATAAAGCACAACATATATCAAAAGCCTTTCACTTGCAATGCACCACCAGTATTTTCAAGAGTAAACAATTCAGAAGTGAAATGCCCAAATTTACTAATCCCTCTTGAAGTCTACAGTGCAAACATTGGAACTATAGTTCTTTGTTTGAAGATTGACATACAGACTAATTAGTCTGACCTTATCTTGTCATCACCCCAAGCCCAAATTTACTAATCCCTCTTGAAGTCTACAATGCAATCATTGGAACTATATTTCTTTGTTTGACTTCTGAAATTTTGCCTTGAAACAGGGACAAATGAGATAATCAACCAATCAAAAGCCTTGAGCATAATTTGTTTGTTTTGTGAAGTTTCAGCATGTAACAAGTAGAACCACATCTAAAAAACATGCAAAACATATAAGATAATGTACAGGTCGATATATATTCAACTACCGTTTAAAAATAAAAGATTTTATTTGACTTAGCAGGGCGTGAAATTGCGCCTAATACAGGCGCCAATGCGACTAAATTTTTCACTTTGGCGACCAAATCCTGAAAGTTAGTCGCCAAATTGGCGACTACAACGTTTCATCATAACCTTACTAAGAGATACAGTGAATTACATAAATTTGCAAAGATAAATCCGCGGCAAACTTCCTCGTTAAGTTTGTTTCCAAAACGTAGCACATGCATCTCGATCGATAACTAGACGCCATCTTGGATTTAGGTGAGCCTGAACGTTGTATATCATACATCCTAGTGTCCACTTTGTAGCAGGTTAAAGACCTTTTCCCAAACCTAATTTTGGAGGGTCTATCTAGAACGCTGACAGCGTAAAGAAAGATTTTGTTTGTCTTTGAAAATGGCGACCAACTTTTTTTGAATTGGCTACCACTTTGAAGAAGTTAGGAGCCAAGTGGCTATCAGAAAAAAAAGTTAATTTCACGCCCTGCTTAGTTCGGACGCACACTGCGTCATTCGATCTGTCATCGGCTGATGATTTAGGTCGTTGCGTTCTAACATTCCATTGAAGATTATTATCTCTGTCGCTCAAAAATCATGTTTGATCACAATATATGTTGCTTTTCACTTGCAAATAAACATTTACCGATTTGTCTTAAGGCAAAAAACAAGGATTCGTGCGCGAAAAGTAAAAGTAAATGTTTCAACACCACATGCGTCACGCATTTAAATATCGCAAGAATGTTTACAGATTACTTACCTCGATTCTTCGCTAGGATTTTCACCACTAGAGATACCACCATGCTCACTTCCATCGTCAAAAATCACCTCTAAAGCCTTAGCTACGCCGTATCTCTAGCGTTTCGCATCGGACGCCATTATCGCAGACTGAAATCGTACGCGAATAATTTTCGGATCGGGCTCCCGAGGGCACGTTTGATAGTTCGGAGCTAAAACTCGCCATGTGATTGGCTTAGAATGTTTACATGCTACACCGAGCATTTCCGAAAAGGTCAAAGTCATCATGCAATTTTGCACGATCGGCCCCAGGGCTTGACCACGAAGTAAACGCTTTTCTCGGAAACATAGGTTCTATAAAAATTGTCTTTCTCTCTGCGTATTTGTTCAAATACGGCTAGTATTTTGGAAATTAAAAGTCGGTTGACCTAGACTACACAAAAAAGCAAGAATCCAACAAGACCACACTTTTTTCTGTTACAAGCGATAACGTCAAATCTTTAATTGTTGGGCCTTTTCCGCGGTATGTGTTTTGGCTTGTTCAGACGAAGGATCGCTTTGACACAGCAATTAGTATGAGGATTCCTTACATCCTTTCAAAGTAGGGCGTCATACTCAGTGAAAGCTCGCAAATGCCTTTAATGTGTCGCTGGGCCTTTTCTCGAAATCAAGGGATGCTTTTTCGAAGTAGCTCTATTGTGCACTATGAAGATAACGAAGAGAGGTAAGACCCTTGAATTAACCGAGGAATTGACTCATGACTATATCAACTATATCATTTAAAAGCAATGTCGGAAAGTAAATTCAAGAAGGTCAATTCACCAACGAGAGTTGGTTAGGGAAGTGCACTGACGCTGCAATTGCTACACGAAAGTACATACATTTAAGTAATGATTTACTTATAATACATGATCTGACTGCTCTTGTAATGAAGGGAGGTGAATCTTTCTTACCCAAGCAAATGGCCGTGCAGAAAGTAAAAACAGCGAACTGAAATCTCACCATGGCTCTTTGCGACAACCTTGTCAACGAAGGCGTGTGCGTAATTTGGGTGGCTCTGGCGGGCGATTTTGTAACAACGTTTCACTATCTGCTCGTTGGTTTTTCTTGAATTGATGCGCATGAATGACATTTCCTTTTTAGGTAAGTGCCATGACAACAATAGTCACGTGAGAGATGACTACCCCATATCAAAAGAGGAACAACACAAAGACCAATTAACTGGTTCAGTGAAAGCAAAGTTTTACATGATATGCAATGTGAATTTAATGATTAAAATGGACTCTACCAGTGGCAATTACTATAAAATTATTCGAAACGTATTTATCATTACCTGCCATAGCTCGCCAATTTGAGGGACAACGCAGCGCGATGTTTTCCTAGAACTTCGCGACGAATAAATCCCAGGGAGCCATTTGTATTTCATGATACTGTCATAGGTAGCCGGGAAATAAAATCAGGCCAAATCCACCCGCCAACCTGAATAAGGTTGAAATTACTGTTTTATGAGAACGACTCAAGATTTTCCGAGAAATGGAGTAATTTGATCGCAAAAATCTTTCATGTACTTGAGAGAAAGATCGATCGCATCATACGCTTTTCCCGGAAACATAGGTTTTATAAAAATTGTTTTCCTCTCTACACATTTTTTTCCTATTATAAGCGATAACCTTTAATCTATAATTGTTGGGCCTTTTCCGCAGTAAGCAACGGACAAAAAGAAATTAGAACTAGTAAATGATAGGGGACTTAGGGCGGTTTTTTTAACTGGAACCTCGCATACGAAGACTTACTGAAACGTGCCAATTTGTACTATCTATACAACATGCGACTGCAAGATATCGCCATTTTCATGTGCAAAGTCAAACACAGGCTGCTGCCTTCGAACATAGTAGATTTATTCAGGGGCATTCCATCTGGGTACAACCTCAGGAACTCAGATGTTCATATCTCCAGAATCTTTTCTGTCCATTATGGCAAACATTCTCTAGGATATCTCGGACCATATATGTGGTCAAAACTTGGACATAGCGACAGACAAATGCTAACTCTGACATCATTCTTCTCAAACATCCACAGAAAAGACCTCACGAACCTAGTTTCATATTACGTCTGTACAGGGAATTGTCCGAAGTGTGTTTAGAATTTTAGACATATTTAGAGTTTGTATATAGTTGTATAGGTAGAAATTATTATATTTTAGTCCGTATTTTATAATATAAATGGAATTCTAGACATGTGTATATATTTTAACTAGTGATAACTAATTTTTAACTTAACTTAACTTAATTTATCTGTAATTTTATTGGGAGTGTCCCCGATTAGTCGGCCTCCGGGCTGACTAGAAGTTTTAGACACTTAAAAAAAGTTGATTGATTGATTGGTTGTACGTATCTTGGCTTGTTTAGACGAAGGATCGCTTTGACACAGCAATTAGTATAAGGATTCCTGGGGGTTTCTATGTTCACATCCTTTCAAAGTAGGGCTTCATCCTCAGTGAAAGCTCGCAAATGTCTATCATGTAGCGCTGTTTACGAGTCTTTTCTCGAAATCGAGGGATACTTTTTCAAAGTAGTTCTATCGTGGCTCAGGAACTTAAAGATAACGAAGGTAAGGCCCTTGAATTAACCAAGAGATTGATTCATGGTTATATCGACCATATTATTTAAAAGCAATGTCGGAAAACAAGTTTAAGTTGGTCAATTCACCAACGAGAGTTGGTTAGGGAAGTGTATTAACACAGCAATTGCTACACGAAAGTCCATACATTTAAGTAAATTTCCTTACAATACATTATCTGACTGCTCTAGTAAGGAAGAGAGGTTAGCCTTCACTTACCCAAGCAAATGGCCCAGCAGAAAGAAAAAACAGCAAACTGAAATTCCACCATGGCTCTTTGCGACAACCTTTCCTTGACAACGAAGGCGTGCGCGTAATTTGGGTGGCTCTGGCGGGCGACTATTTATGCCATTTTACCAATCTGCTCGTTGGTTTTTCTTGATGCGCAAGTGAGATGACAGAATGAGTGACATTTTCTCTTAAGTAAGTGCCATAAGAACAATAGTCACGTAAGAGATGAGTACCCTGAATCGGTAAAAGGGTCAACACAAGGACTTATCAACTGGTTCGGTGATAGCAAAGTTTTACATGATATGCAATGTGAATTTAATGATTAACACCAGTCAGATGCTTGACGAGTGATTTCAATAAAGTCAAACAGCCAACTAAAAATGTTTTTTTTTAATAGAATGACTGAGACATGAGAAATCAATGAACAGACACTTACCGCTACTGATTTTAATTTATCGACCTTTCCATTCTATCTTTTATTTGGCTTTGAGATGCTGTTCTTCAATCAAGGGTATCACGAAGAAATACTATTATCATTGGCCCTCACTTCCATTCCACTGTCCTGACTGCTTCTGAAACAGTGTCAAATGACAAAATTAATTTTGTTTCAAGGCAGAGAGAACTTAACACCAAAATGAGAAAAAGAGGTTTATAAGGTCGGTCCAACTTTAAAAAGGCATTTTTGAGGTCCATCATTTGTGAAATACTTTTGGCGATTACGATACTGTCTACAAAAGTGGATACATTCATCTAAAAGAGCGTTTAATAATAAAATATGAAACAGCAGAAAACCTCGGCACTCAGATCAAGTTGCTCGACAAAACTACAAGCATCATCATTATCACCGACATCATCAAGTGACCAGAAGCAGCGAAGCCACTGTTACAGGGTGTGTCTTTGTCACTGACACAACAAGCCACAGCGCACTCTTTGATCTTCATTATCTTCTTCATGTCATCATTTGTGGACAAGTTCTTCATAAGATCGCACTCCATCTTCTGGAGGCATCCTCTAGTCTCCACTTCATTATTGTCTTCCATCTTGTCGTGCATCTTGCTACAGGTGTAATTGGTAGGACAGTCAACCTCGGTTTGGTCCTTTTTGCATTGATCGATGGAGTAAGAATCCCCGACTCTCTTTGAAGCACAAATGGAACACTTGAAGGAATAAGCTTCAAAAGAGAAATGCATTAGAGCCTCATTGTTAGAGGTTTAGCTTTTCTCTTTAACATTACGTTCAAATAATCAAACAATCAAATATGAGGGAGGAGCTTAGAGCACTCTTAGATGTAAAGTTTGAATTTTTATAATCTTGGCAGAAAAGATTTTGTTTTGATAAACTTGTCATTATACAGTATTAATTAAAAGTGATGACATTAAGCTGGCTTTCGAGTTTTGTTTTTTGCGCTTAAATTCGAGTCCTTCAGACTCTTTGGCCAGTGGCCGGTGGATTGGAGGACCTACAGAACTGTAGGGAATTTTCAACCAAGAAAAAATATCAATAACTAAACGAAACAAATAATATTAACTCAAAAATCAATCAACACATAAAACCTGCACCTCTCAAACATACACTGAACTAGTGTTCGTTGTCAGGGATTACGGTAACCTCGTAATGAGTAGAACTGCTCTTTTGACAAGAGTTCGGTAGGAGAAAAAAATAAAAATAATAAAAAAAAGGGAATGAGAAAAAATCGGGCGAAACTAAACGAATTTCAGCGTTTTAACATGCCTTGACTCGAGCACATTTACTTAGAACTGAAATAAATCAAGTGCACATCATTGTTTACTTTTAATGGAAACGTCAAAAGGAACGGAAAAGCTAGCCCCCCAAAATTAAGGAGTTATAGGGAATTTTAAAGCTAGTGAATGTGACAAGTAAAGACTGATCAAGATTCTGAACAAACATGGTGTTATTTTTAGCCACCGGCAAATGATATGTTAGACTGAAACATTTTGTTTGCAATAAAGTAAAAATTGGATTAACAGCATGAAAAAAAAAAAAATAACAACAACAACAACAACAAAAACTACCACAACAACAAAAAAACAATTCTTTAATTATAAAAAGACATTAGAATTATATTAACCACTTCCCTTTCGGGTGAAATCACATAGCCTTATTCCCATCGCACTTAGTAATTTGCGATTAGTCTCGCATAATTTGCTCAGAGCAGTTCAGTTTCTCAGTGCAGTCAAACGTAGACGCGAATCTGTACTTGGAAGAACAGTCGATGTGGTGGCATCACAAGATTGAAAAGCAGGTAGGTTTGTGGTATAGATTTTATCAGTATTATTCAAAAGTCAGTAACAGATACTCTTAGAAATCATGGTCAATGGATAGCGACTTTCTACAAGAACGGCAAAAAAAATCGATGTGATCTCAGTTACGCAACAGCCAACAATAATTACGCATCGACTGGAATTAGATGATGGTTGCTAAGACGGTTTCTGTTCGTTTTCCGTTGCAATATAAATATGAATATCTAGGCACAGACTTCCATCAGAAAACATTGACTTTGAAAAGTACAATTTTCACTGTAAGATACTGATATCTTCAATCAAAATTCAAGTCATCCTGACGGTTGATTTAAGAAAAGGAGCAAGTGAAACTTTCGTGCGCAGAAGTTTCTGAAACAAGAAAAAATGCTGGTACTGTGCAATAAGAGAACGGCCTTGAGGATTTGGTTATACAAAAACAAAAAAAAAAAGAAGGATAGAAAAACTAAATTTACCTGTGCATATTGTTGCACCCAGAGCAATTAAAATGAAATAAAATTTCTCCATGGCATCTTGAAAGTCAG